ATGTTTTTGGAGCGTTTTCAAACAAACCATGAGTAAGAAATCAAGGTTTGTCTTTGGTTTGCCACTTGTGGTTTGTTTAGTGGGAAACAAACCATGAGTGCCTGTTTGCATGCAATGCTAAGCCAGCAATGATTTGCTTCTGAAAAAGGACAAACACAGAGGTCACAATCCGACCACCATGTACAAGTATACTTCTTGTTATAGCCTTAATCAACTTCAGTGAGCTGCTAGGCACTGCTGCATTCTGTTCCCTCTGTGGCCTGAAGAACGTAAGTATGAAGAGGGGGAGTACCCAAGACACAACACATTAATTAATTTTCATTCAATTTACACTGGTTTGGATGCTGATACTTCCTGGTTTCTCATTTTGAGTTGCAGGGATTAGCAGAGAGATTCAATCACTCCATGCATGGCTTAAGGGTGTCAAGTGTAACAAAATTACCCAATATCAAGAAAGCCTTTGTCTGGAAGTTACGCAGCAACCAAAACAGGCAGAGGCAGCTTCAAAACAAGAGTATGACTAGGCATGCACATGAGAAGGATTCCACATCAGAGAAAGGCAGCATGCTAGGCTTGGACTAGGGGCCCCAAGTTAATATCCATGCTCAGCCATGATGTTCACTGGGTGACCTTGGCTGTACCCTCAATTCTCTCCAACCCCCATTTTAGCCAAATCAGAAGGCACATCATTTAGCTAAGAAGAGTCCTTGAGTGAAACCTGCACCTTTTAAAATGGCTGTGTGCATGACATTGAAAGTCACACCTTGTTGTTCTCCTTGAATTCTCTCTACAGTTGCCAAGGCCATCTCTATATCCATTTTCATTAGGTTACAAGGACGAGATGATGGCAATCAGTTTTGAGATTAAAACTGACCCAATTCTTCCTAATTTCCTATGGAGGGCACGATGAGAAGACTTCAGTTCTTTCCCCAGGCCTTTCAACATTTTCACATATGTTACCAATCAGTGCTTTTAACATTATTTTGTTTTGTTTTGATAAACTTGATGACAATGAGGCTTATGCTCAAGAGGAGTTTAGCATTTAGTCTGTTTGTTTGCTATGGTTCATTTTTGCTGCTGTACTTGATTAAATTTAATATATTTAATTTTCACTGTTGGCCACTTGGGGATCCAGGCCATAATGGGTGAACTAATAAAATAATAGTTTGTCCCTGTTTCATGGTTAGCTTAAAAAGTGGCAGCACTGCCAAACGTATCTTTCCTTGTCCCCTTTTGCCTTTCCATAATCACAATCCAATTTGATGACTTTAGCATTTAAAAGAGCTCACAATCTGGGGAAGTCTTATTCCAGAGCAGTGACATGAGTCCTCAAATGCTAGAACAGAAAGTGCTGGTTATGAACCCACAGAAAGCGGATAGAAACACGGCAAACAGCATTAGCTGTATAAAAAGAAAATTCGTTTCAAGTTAGGAAGAGTGGGAGAAAGGCAAACAGGGGTTTGTGCGGTCTGCTACTCCTACTCTGTTTTGGCATTTCAAAGAAGCTGGACAGTCATCAAAATTGTTATTTCCCCAGTGAAAGCAATACAGGTATAGATCCAGATTTGAGGGCTGGGGGGGGGGGAATAGCTACCAACTTCATTCCAGGAAGAGACCACAAGGGCCTGGTCCAACCCCTTCTGACCTACTTCTGTTATGGAACCTGTTCCTACCTCTGAAATAGTGTGCCACTTCCACATCAGCACAACCTTAAAGCCATACTTGCTGGCTGGTCTCTCAAGTACCTAGTTGTGGAGAATGTGTTTGCCAAAAAGGAGGTGCTCAAAAGCACATGTTCAATAGGAGGGAGCAATGCCCACCTCACATCCTGACAAAGCACTCCTACTCCAGTCTAGAGCAGCGTTTCACAACCAGGGGCCATATGCTGGGGCCCAGGATATTCCAAGGGGGCCACAGAGAAAATTGCGTAAATGAGGACCACAGCAAGAGGCATGGGGGGCACAGAGGGAAGTGATCAATTTTTTTAAAAAACTAGTCAGCAAATCCAAGGCTGAAGAGAAACAAGTGATGACGAAGAGAGATACTGTCACTCATTTTCACCCATAACAAAGAGGTTGTGACTTCAGAGCATGCTGAATGAGAGTGCTAATTATGTGCATAAGACATGGGACCTGCTGGTACAGGATGTTGCTGAAGCAAGACCGCTAACTGGAAAGCCAAACACTAGAAGCAATTCATAAAGAATCAGTCCTCTTCTCATTCCTGCTGAACATGGCACCAAACCCAAGACAAAGACAGTGGAAACTGATCATACGACAGCAAGAGGTGACAGCTCTTGCAGAACAGCAGTTGTATCATTAGGCATTTGCCTGGTCAGCTAAGGAGAGTAAAAATATACCTCCAGGTAACCTGCTGCAGCCTCCCCCCCCCCCCCCGCCTGCCTGATTTCATTCTACAACAGCCACAGTACTCTACTGTGTTTCCACAGTTAGAAAAACAAAAACAGTGCACATCATGGCTACTGGGTGTGCAGTTGCTGTCATGACCAGATGGAGGGTAGCAGTGGAGCATCACTGGATTTTCTCACCAAAGAAACAAGAGTTACACACTATGATTGTTGCTTCTAAACCTCAGGGCCATATTCCAACTAATATGTTGAGCTAAAGTTCCATCACCACAAGGATTTTATTTGTTGGATGGAACCTTCTCCCTCTCTTCTTCCCTCTCCCCACACCACCAAATGTGACCCATGCCATCCCCAAATCTGCTATGGAGAACTGGGGGGAAACCCATAGTAGATTTAGGGGCCACACAGGGAGTGAGGGAAAGAAGTTCCATTGCCTGGGCAGTGTTTCTACACCGCAGCGCCGTAGAAGTTGCCTATCCTGGTTCCCACAAAGATTTCTGGCTTCAAGAGGTAGCTGTAAGGCCTACCTCAGCAGCTGTGCACCATAGACACAAAGTAATATGTGGTACTGGCTATACTAACAATGGATAACATGGAGGGATGAAAGGGAATGGTTGCAAACCGATTAAAAGTGTGCAACTGTGCTTTGACTTTACAAAAGGAATTTACAAAGGAAATCAATGCAAAAACAAAATCAGTACTTCAATTCCATTGTCCACTTGTATTCATTTAGCCTTCCACTTCCATTCTAACTTTCTTAAGAGACATGGGGCTGTGCCATCACTTGCTTCACTCACCAACACCCACCCACCCCCCAGTCTGACCCACATTAAGCTGCTCAAGGGGTCCCAACTGTTCCTCTATGACTCACTTGGCCAGGTCACCTGCTTCACTTCCCTTGTTGTCTGACACTGCTGAGGCTGAAATGGCATCACTGGTGTGAGGCGAATAGCAATGGATATGGCGGAAGCAGCAGCACAGCTGCTCAGAAAATGTCCTGGCAATTCCTCTGCAGATCGCCTGGGCAACCTACCCACCTGCCTTCATCTTCTCATCCTCCTCTAATAGCACTGTGAAAGCTCTCATAGGTCTGTTGTCACACTGAAGTGCACCTGTTGGAGACCAAGTGAACTGAAGCATGAAAACATCTGAACCTTTTTATAATACATTAGGATACAGCCTTTACCTTTCTCCAGAGACTCCAGCTGCTCTTGGATGCTCCATCTCATCACCATCCAAAGGTGTCGCTCCAAACTGATAGCTGCTGTCCTTATGCTTTATCCCAGTTGCGCCAGTCCAGTCCATCTGTATTAGATCTACTTCCTCAGCCCCATCCAAAGCCTTGGGCCTCAAATCAGACACTTCCATGCTTTCAGTGCCAGATCTGTAGGCCAAATCTGCTTGTCCCACACCAGGTTCTCTGGTCTCCTCTGGATTCACAGTCCTTACATCTGATGAAGCAGACAAGGTTTCCAGACCCAAGGAAGGAAACCAATGAAGCTGCTTCTCTGTAGGTTTTTTCAGATGCATCTGGGCTCCCAACTTTCAAGTCTTTTGAGAGATCCATGCCTCTAAGGCCAAGATCTTGAGTCCACTCAGGCTGCCCCTCTCCAACTCCTCTAGGCTCATCCATAGCAACTGCTACTAAGTCTCTAGAGTGACCTACCAGGCTGCCAGCTGTCTCCTCCAAATCCACGGTCACACTTAGACTTGGTAACTCTATTGGACCAAAACTACCAGCTCGGTCCTTCCCTATAGCACCTAACTGGTTATTTTGTTTAGTTGCCGAGACATCAGTGTCTCTGACCCATTCTCTTGTGGCAATGGGGAAATCACTATCTTGTAGATCAGATTCCCTAAGGTTGTAATCATCAGCCCAGACTGGCTTCCGGGCACAGTACTCCAGATCACCAGCCTCAAATTCAGTGGTGCTGCTTCTGCTTGCAATACTGAGTTCTCTTTCCCAGCGTGTTTGATTATCATCATATTCACTGGCTCCATCTGGTTTTTCAGCACTGAGCACACCATCATGGCTTTGGGGAATACCCATGACATATCTGCTTGGCCAATCAGACTGTTTGACACTCAGTTCAGACTCCTGACAGCTGCCATCATCAAAGCCATATGTATTGGGTCGTAGTCGCTGTTGGATGCTAACCTGGGATTCTGGATGATTGGCACTATATTCACTAGGTTGCTCCACCTGGTTGGCATGGGACTCTGACTGCACTGGGCTAGCCCTGCTGTCAACATTGGAATCACTAGGCCAGCCTGACTGGCTGGCACTGGATGTGGCATCCTGAGAGCCAACATTGACAGCACTGTGATCACTGGGCCCTTCTAAATGCCTGGCACTGAGCTCTGCATCCTGGTGGCTGTGAGTACCGTATTTGCTAAACGCATCTGATGATTTTGTGTTAACCTCCAATTCTGGACAGCTATCCTTTTCTTCACTGTATTTATTGGGCCAGTCAGTTCTTTCAGTAGCACCAACGTGATAGGGGCTGCTCCAACCCATTTTCTCAGCAGCAGACCTGCTGCTCTCCGGATCATCTTCATTACTGCAGAGTCTGGGCCAGCCTGGTTTTCTCACGTATGGCTCTCGGTCCTGACACTCAGCAGTGCTGATGCTATATGTGCTGCTCCAATCTGGCTCCTCAATCTTCTGGTCACCACAGCTGCTGCCATAGGCAGTGATCCAATCTTCTTGCCCTGGATTAGAACTGTCCTGCAATGGTGTTCCTCTGGTCCAGACTTTCTGGCTGGAACCAAATTCCATATCCTGCCTTTTGGCATCACTGTATGAGCTCAGCCACTCCTGTGGGCCAGTGCCAAATTCTCGATCCTGCTCTGTCTCACCGGGCCAAACTACCTTGCCAACACCAGCAGCCCAACCCATGCCAAAGGTAGCAGACCGATCAACTTCTACAAAGCCAAACTCGCTGTGAAGATCCTTCCTTGACCATCCCAGAAGATCCTAATAAAGAAAGGCGAGGAAAATAAAGCAACATTAGAAAGGCATGGGACAGTGAGCCAAATTTAGTGGGGATCTGATCTAGTAAAGATGTCCCTTCTCCCAACAGTCCAATATGAGAAATACATTAAAGAGACAGAAACTGAAAATGTAAATTCACTAAGCCCTTCCTGTATTATTATTATTTTAAACCAGTTTGAATATATTTCACTTAACATGCACAATTTAGGAAAGGGCCATTACTGGGTAGCAGCACGTTTTGCATGTAAAAGTGCCAGGTTCAATCCCTGCCATCCACAGACTGAGCTGGTAAAGATCCCTGTCCAAAACCTTGGAGAGCAGCTGATCAGTGTAGACCATTATATCTTCAGATCTACTAGATCTACTACTAGATCAACATGACTTAAGGTGGGCACAACAACTACATCACAACCTTATAAATATATAGTAAAAAATTAAGATGCTTATGCCCAAAAGCATGTTTGAACTAAAAATGGGTCCCAGGTCTAAATTAGACATGAACTAGAGGGATCAATGGTCTTGGTTCAGTCTAAGGCAGATTCCTATGTTCCTAACACTGCAATCTTCCATTTAGAAAGTTCCTCCAAATGGAAAAATATATCAAACCCACATGTATGATTTTAGAGGAAAGTTTTCCTTTTATTCTCTGTCATCCATTGTAAAGGCCTTTGGCTATATACAATTTTAAAAAAAATGACCATACATAGAGTGATAAGCCTGCACTTGGTAATCATCCACTCATGTGTAGATGAAGCAAGTTACATGCATTTAGTATAGAAACAATTATTTACGTAAATGTGTATGGAGCGGGACCTGGTGGCAATTCTTTCTTTGGTCTTTCATGCTTGCTCAGTTTCCTACATAGAAGTGTTTTCTATGTAAGGAAATTATAGCTTGAAACGTGCCTGTTAAAAATTAGTTTTAAAAAATAATTTGGAATTTTGGCAAGTTCCATATTGGTAGAATGCAAGGAAGATTAAAGAGGTACTTATATGGCCAGGAAAATAAACTAGTAGCCACTGGTACTGAATTGTTCACTGGCAAAGAACCCCCTTGCAAGCCTGATCAGACTGTGAGACTTTGGGGCTTTCAGAAGCACCCCCTATTATAACCACCTAATGAACAGTTAATTCTTGTTCGCTAGAGCACGTGAGCCTACCAAGGTATGCACATTAGTTTTGGTATACAACCCAGTACATTAAGTGATGTGCCTTGTAGCTACATAGCTATGGAGCCCTACCAAACTAAGGAGCACCAATTCATTCTTAGGCTGAGTCTGCTGGAGCTCAAGGCACAATTTCTTGGTGGCAAAGAGGGCCAACCAAACAGACAAAAGTAACTTTGATGTGTACGGGCAGGCTGGATTCAGGAAGGTGAGGGAAGCTGCTCCACCCAGGATGACTGGAGGATTACCCACGCAGCAGCACCTTTTGGCTCAGCCTCCTCTCTTGCACGCTCTGCAGCCATCTAACCTGTTCAGCCACTTTTGCGGCTTACTTAAAAACCAAGACCCGCCCTTCCCAAAGACAAGTTCAGTCTCTGTTATTTAACTGGGCAGGAATGCACATTCACCTAGCCATGCTTGTGCCCATTTAATGCCTTCTTACCAGGTTCTAAAAGCACTAGAAATAGGAAGCCAGTAGAACTGTCTCCTTGCAACCCGTTTTGTGGTCTTCAGCCAACCACCCATCCCCGCACTAAATACAGTTCCTTTACCTCTGGTCCTGTAGGGTCTTCTGACTTGGGCGTACTTCTCTTCTTTATGTCATCAGCACTAGGCGGAGGAGATGCCAGCAGTTCATCAAGCCAGTGTGAGCCTGGATCAGGGTCAGCCCTCCTTTCGGGGTCAGCAACCCCCAACTTGCCTTCACGTGCCAGACCTACAGCACCATCATCTTCTTGGCAGGAAGCAGCTGTCTGCACCTGGACATCTTCAGAGAATAAGATGCAAGGCTCTGCAGGAGGGGCAGCCTGCTCTACACTTGGCAATGGCTCCATTGCCCTTAAAGCCCCTTCCTCAGGGGTTGGGACAAAGGATAAGAAACCATCACGCTCCTCTTGACAACCAACCTCTGCTGCTGCTATAGGGCCCTTGAGCTTGGGGCTAATAGGCTCCCTCAGAGTTGAGGGACCTCCAGGTGCTGATATCTCAAGGGCTGAAGGGGACTCCAGCTGGTCCTCAGCCTTTCTCCTGATCCCTGGGGAACTCCTGGAATTGCTGTGGCAGAACAAGCTCCCATAAGCCTCAGTCTCCTCTCCTCTCTGGCCCTCTGAACCTCTTTCCTTATAAGACCCTTTGGGGCTGAGGCTCTCTCTATCCAATTCTGCCTCCAAGAGACCAGTATCATCAGCCTCCGCAATGGGAGACCTTGGAGGAGACCCCAGTCTCCTTCCACCAAACTCAAGAGCCCGGTTAGGGAACGACCATTCAAAGGACTGTGACAAGCTCCAGTTGGACTCTCCTCCTGCAGCCTGCTCTAAAGCTGGGTCCCCTCCTCTTGGCAAGACAGCCAAAGACCCTCCCAGCTCCTCCTTGTCCATTTTTTTACCCCGTGGCTGCAACACCCCTTCTGAGGCACGCCGCAGAACCAGTTGAGATAATTGGGGGTCTTTACCCTCAAATGGTAATGTTGGTGCTTGATTGTCGAGGGAATCCTTAACCCTGGAGAGTAAGGGGGAGGCCTGTGCATGAGAGGGAGAGCCAGGAGGTTTATCAGAACTAGCAAGGTACTCAGAAGGAGTGCTCGGGGAGCCAGGGGACTCCGACACTCCTCGGAGACCACAGGGTGGTGCCAGACTGTGCTCAGCAGCAGGATGAGTCAAACTGGCAGATGGCCCAGCACATCTTGCAGAAAGGTCCCCAAGACCTGAAGACAAGGAGTGTCCTAGGAAACCACTGGGGGATCCTGGGGGGCAGGGATCAGATAGGGCAAGAGGGGAACCTGGAGCCTGGGCATGACCAAGGGAGACCTTAACAGGAGATCTGAGGGGTTCAGTAGGTGCATCAGGAGAGCCTGGGGGAAGCTGAGCTTTAGCACTTGGGACATCTGCTGGAAAATGTGGGCTCTCTGGGGACTGGGCTGATTCAGCAGGGGCATCAGGGGACCCAGGAGTGACTCGAGAAGAAAGCTTCGTGAGGAGTTGATAGGTCTTGGGGAGAGAGACCTGGAGAGAAACAAGGGAAGAATGGGTTTTAAAAATATGATTCCTCCCTCCCTGGAACCTTCCCGAGCATCCTAATCTGTCCCCCTCCAGCCCCAAAGAATACAGGATGTCTCCTCCAATCCTAACCTCTTCCCTCTTTTTTCTAGACCTTAGAGATTGTCCTTCATGTCTTGGATGTTCTGGTTTCACTACAAGACCCCACGAGACCCTCCCCAACAATATTTCTGCCCGAAGGAAGCCAGAAGGAAAGGAAATTCAAAGAATGGAGGAAGGGGAAAAGAGAGGCTGAAGAAATCGTTCAAAGTGTTGCAGTAACAAGGCTGTATGCCCCACCCCAGGACCTTGCCTCCTCTCCAACTAGGCCTTCAGAAAAGTGAAGAACTAAGCTAAGTAGATCACACAATAGGCTGATGACCTTCCTTCCCCCTCCTCCTCCTCCTCCTCTGGGAGAGGCAAAAGGAGTTAATCATTACCATCACCCATCCCTGAACAAGCAGCAAGAGGGTATAGTGCTTTCACTGCTAGATTATTTGGCCACAGGCCCAGCTGCTGGGATCTGCTTCATACATACCTTGTAGGTCACCAAATTGTATTCACTGAGTCACAGCTGCTCCCTTCCCTCCAGCTAAGGGCCTGGTATTATGCATTAGGTTTCCACACTTTGCCTGGGCTAGGTTCAGGCTAGCTAGCTAGCCTAGGCCAGAGTTTGCTCTCTAAAGAGCTGAAGGGTCACAGATCCATTTTTCTCATTTATTTTCTAACTCTTCCAAAAGCATAAGGCAGTATTGGGACTGTTAGTGGGAGCATTATGTGCTATACCAAATGCCAAGATTATGCTCTGGATTTTTCAAAACTGTACCATGCAAGGTAGAAAAATGAAGACTTCCTCAGAGTCGATGTCACCATGTCTTGCACATGAGGTTAGGGGCTGAATCTTTCAAACTGCAGGCACCTACGTAAGCCAGCCCATGGGATTTTGGCAAGGACATACCCAGTTACTGAAAAGCAACAAATATGGCCTGGGAAACCCCATAGCAGTGCAAGATAGTGCATTGTTTGCTTGGGCTACCAATCTCTTCTTGAAGAGAAGCATTAGTAGAGAAAGGAGACACGCACCCTACAGAGAGGGAGCCCGGAAGGAGAGAGGTGGCAGATACCCCTGAGACAGAGGAGAGCCAGGAAGGAGAGAGCCCAGCGGAGGAATTGCCGTGCTGCAGATAACTCACGCCAGGAGGAGACAGTAGACTGCTATATCCAGGTTGGCCTCCATCACAGCTCATGCTAGGTTGACTGGAGCTGCTGAGAGAAAGATTGCATCGCCATCAGGAAACAAGCCTGATTACTGATGGGAAAAAGTGTATCACATAACGAATGGGAGATGGGGAACCCCAATTATCATCTAATCCAACCCCCACAATGTAGAGTTCATCAGAGTTCTTCTAAAAGCAGTTACCTGTGCCTGATCAACTGTTCACCTACAAATAAATCCCAAGAGTTGCTACCACTCATGACATCATCGCAGGATTTAAGGTTACTGAGATTTCACAGAAACTATAGTTGGGAGAAGCATGCCCAATTCTAGCCATTGAATTCAAGTTGTGATTAATTCAATGGTATTTATTGCCATGTATGTAATGCCCAGGAATGTAGCCTTCAGTTGTGCCAACCCTCAGTTTTCATTCTTAAATCACAGGAATAATTTACCTCTGCTAGAGCCAAATGTGAAAGAACAAAGAAAGAACTGCCAGCAGGTCACCTTCTAGACACATTTACTGTATTGCTTTCATTTTCCTAGCACTGTTCTCTAGTTGCTGACCTGCATCCCATCTCAGTCCTTGACAGAGGGCACTCTGTGATGTATTGCAAAGCTGATCATCTAAGATTATGTGGAATGAATCTGAACCTCACCTGTCCTTAGAGAGTAAGTCTAAGTTTCTCTCCGTTGCTCTTGCTGGTAGCTCAGATTCAGGCAGATGCTGACCATTTGAGCTTGTGATTTCCTCCTTGTTCCTTGACAATATGCTGTCCTCAACTTCACAAGAGGCTCTGCAAGCAGGACCCTCCGACTCTGTTTCACCCCCTTCTCCACTGGAACATCTCCGGAATGCAGCATAACCCTTAGGCCCCAGGTGGACAGCTGTGGTACCATCCTGGCTGAAGAAGGAGCGTACCAGCCGAGGCCTATCAGGGCTGCTTGCCCCTTCTTTGTTGGGCTTCTCCATCTTGGCCAAAATCTCCTCCACTGTGGTCCCAGGAAAACGCTCTGGTTTGGCTGCTACTGGCACCGGTATTACTTTGAAGGGAACAGCACCCTTGCGGACACTGGAGGACTCTCCACACTCCTCTCCGGATGCTCCCTCCACAGCACTTGATTTATTTGCAGGCCCAGTTCCTTCTCCATCTCCAGCTGGTTTGGCTGTGGTGGAAAATGGATACAAAACCTCCTTCCCATTGGTAGCTTCTCTTGGAGAGGTCTTTAGACCAAAAGAAAGACGCTTAACAGCATTGCCAGCCCCACTATATGGCTTGGGCCCAGCCAACAAGTTGATCTTTTCAGCAGAGGGCACTTCAGAGAGAGCCTGACGCTGTCCAGGAACAGGCTTCACTGGCATGGCTGGCTTTGGCAACACACAGGGCTTGGGTTTCACGGGTGGCTTTGGACGGGCATCCCCTGAGGAAAAAAGGATGTGGGGAAAGATGCATTTTATACAGAGCTCAACCAGAACACAGGGCAACTAAATTATATGGATCAAAATAATAATCCATTGCCTAAGTACACAAAAAATAAAAATAAAATGAGCTCTACTAATAATCCTTGCTAAATTTCCAAACTATTTTGCAGGAAACCGAGAAGCCACTAAAACTGCATGCAGCTTTGGACACAGGTCAGTCTAGAGAGGATCTTCTAGTCCATTAAACCAGAAATAGCGGTAATAAAGATTACCAACAGAAGCCATGAAAATGTTTTTGGAATGCATTTAAATTGCAAATGGTAGTATTCAGAGTAGACCCACTGAAAGTAATAGCATTACTAAGTTAGCTCTATTACTTTCAATAGCTCTGCTCTGAATATAACTTAGTTGCATACCACCCGTTGTTCTCAGGTCAGGCAGTGGAATCAGAGCCTTTACGTGATTAGCCGAACTGTGTGGTGCAACTTTTAGGGAAGACACCACTTCAATTATAGGTGCAGGGCTGCCTCCTGGGGCAAAGAGGAATCCCCCATGCACACAGAAAACAAGCATGTCAGGAAAAAAGGTTCAAGGTTAGCCTTCTCCTGGACACAATAGCTTCCATGTTTTGTTTTTCACACATTCAAATATGTTGTCCCCTACTTTCAGAATGAAGAGCTACAATCCCTCAAGAGCTGCATTAAGTGATTCTTCTGCTTGCTATTTGACTCCGTTCTTCATTCTCTGGTGCACCACCACCCAACATAAACAGAAAAATTTAAATACCTAGCAACTTGGCACACCATCTCCCATATTTAGCTCTCTCAAACAATCAACTCAGTTCTGCTGAGCTGAAGGCTCACAATGCAAGGCATACCTATCTCCGGACTGCTTGCTAGTTGTTTGGGTCCTCTCCGGCCATTAGCAGCAGTACAGGGAAATGGGGAGCACAGCGACTGAGGATTAGAGTCCATCACATCACCGGGCTGGGACTCTGAACTCAGCATAAATGTCAGCCCCTAGGATACAGGAAAAGGAGTTTAGGCAGTCTGCAAAACTTGTAAAGATAGCAAAGACCTTCAATGCAACATCAGACCATAGATGCTTCCTCCCAGAATGCAAGTTTTCCAATATCCGCCTTTGTTCCTTTGAGAGAGGAATTTCTCTCTCTCTCTCTCTCTCTCTCTCTCACACACACACACACACACACACACACAGAATGTATCATGTTATGCCACTCCCAGGGCAGGCTGGAACAAGGGTGAAGGAAGCAAGTCTCCCACAAATATCCAGGCCATGAGTCATGCTAAAGGATGGGAATCTCAAACTTATAAAACTTTGGCTTTCTAGCTGACTTGCTCCACTCTCCACAGGGCCACCCCTGCTCCACCTTTCTGCCACGCCCTCTCCTTCCCAGCCAACTCGTTATCACTCCTTCCCTGCCTTTCTCTTGCCAGGTCCAGTCACTTTGCCAGAACATTTGGCTGCTTTTCCAGTCAGAATCTCCTTTTCTCTTCCCAAGTCCCTTTCTGCTCCCACCCCTTCGCAGCAAAGCCGAGTTTCTGCTCAACCCAATCCCAGCTGTATACACTCCCAACCCGGATATACTGAGCAGGGAGCAAACATCTGGAGTACTTCCCCCTCCCACCCCCCCTCCAGATTTCTCAATCGTTTGGCACAGCCCCTGGAATTCAATGAGGTAAAGCTGGGGCCTGTTCCTGTCACTACGGCAACGGCCTCCCGCTAGATTTCAGGAGAGGGCCAAACCCTGGCTAAAAAAGAAAAGCAAAGCCAGCATCTTGGTTACAAGGAGTGTGTGCCTCAAGAGATTGTTCTAACCGAACTGATCCCCATAATGAGGCAGGAGGAGGAGGGGGGCCTACCAGTAACTCCCCCCTCCCTCAGTATGACAGAAAGAGCTGGAACAACAGGCATACAGCTGAATTTAAGGCATAGCCACAAGATTGTAAACAGCCCCCTCCTCAGCCTCCATCTATACATTATGCCAAAATAGGACCATCAAGCCTCTCCTTCCAAAGCGAGGGTGATTTAAAGGCACAGTGCCTCAGATGAGGGAAGGCAGTTCAGCCGCCTCTGCTCTTTCTGCTTAGGCCCCTCCTTTGACTAGTTTAATCTTGATTTATAAAAGATGTTTTTAACATCATTTTTCAGCCCTAACAAGGTCCCCCGAGGCAGTTTACATAAAAGAACATGCCAAACAAAACCTGAAAACTTAAAAGGAACAGAGCTAAAAGCTTCAATCATATAATGAAAACCATTAAAAGCCATGCAGAATAAGAATGTTTCCCCTGCCAGTCAGAATGGGACTAGTCTCTCTACAGACAGGCTGCTGCCACAAAAAGGCCCTGTCTCATTTCTACAAGGATACAGCGCCTTAGTCCCATCCCCTACTTCTAGCCTGGTAGCACCAAAGCCCAACATTTGCAAAGCCCCAGACCTTATTTTTGCCTAAGCTACTTGTTCATATAACCTCTCTCCCCTCATATTCATTTGCCTTAACTTAAATCTTTATTGCAACTTTGCACACCCCTGTGTCCGAGGTACCATTCTGTTTATCCTACTCAGCAAGAACTTCCTGAGTGAACTATTGCTTCTGAATACAGAATCCCCTGCAAGGGGGAAAGAGTTTCATTTAGTGGAGAAGATAGCTGAAGGAGAGCCGATGAAACCTGAGTGGACATTGAAAACCAGCAACACATTAAGATACCCAGAACCCCATCCAAAATCTATTAAGGCAGTGAATACCTGACACACAATAAAATACGCAAGACGAGACTCTCTCCAAATTCAGAACTAGTATAACTAAATAAAGGTAGAATAAAAAAAGGCAGAGAAACAGTCCAATCCTATTTCCTCAGCTCTCTTACTTTTCTTCATAGATGAAGTATGGTTTTTAACCTGTCAGGCAAAGAGGCTCCTGAAACAGACAAGTCCTTTCTACAAAATACAAGGAAGTACACAAACTATATTTCATCAAGCAGTTAAAACTGCCAAACATGTTGTTTTGTTATCTACACAAACATTATTTCTATGTGGGAAAACGAATGCATGGTCATTTTGCCATGGGTACATATAAAGAAACATGTGTCAGATTAGATGGTATATGCTTGTTCCTGTACTAAAGAAACAACAATGTCAATGCAGGAAAATCATCAAGAGTAAAGCAGCCTTCAAAGAGGAAGTGCCTTGGTAAAACACATATGCATACACACAATAAGCTAGTAAACAAAAACCAAAAAGACAGATAAGCGAGGGTGGTTACTTTTGGCTTCTAAAGTGAGGGGGGGAGGAATATTAAGAAAAAACTGTTTATATTTAGACACTGACTGACAACCCATCCTATATACATGTCTACTCAGAAGCAACTCCTAGAGTTGAATGGGGCTCACTCTCAGGTAAGCAGGTATAAGATTACAGCCTCAGTCTTGAAATGGAAATTATCACAGTACAATTTCTATTTTCCCAAGAGTGTATCTCATGTTATGAGAGACTCCTGAGGAGAGAATTCTTTCACACTTGATCAAAAAAATTAACTTGCAAGACCCATAAGATAAAGTGACATTCCATTTATGATATTTTCAGATAGTTGCAAAATCTAGTTTCAGCGCCTGGACTTTCTACTCAGCCAGATGGGCGGGGTATAAATAATAAATTATTATTATTATTATTATTATTATTATTATTATTATTATTATTATTACTACTACTACTACTACTACTACTAACAGAAAGGGGCATATATACCCAAATGGTACTTTCTGCCCCAGCTGCAACAAAACGTATCTTTCCCACATGGGTCTCCACAGCCACAGCAGGCGATGCAACCTTCCAACAACTTGACCTCACCCCCAGAGGCACACTCCTCCATTGTCTCCTGAGACACACGGATGCCAACCAAACTTTAACTTTAATAGTGATGCATTATTAAAGACAATCCATAATTGTTTCAAGAAAGGAACAGAGAGATCAGAATTAGAAACCGCTTAGGAAGAAGGAAGCACATAATATTACAGCTGAGCTTTGGGCTACCGTGATGAAACAGAGATATGCAGAAAGGCAATTCTTAAAGATCAAGAGTGAGGCAATAGAAGGCAGAGAAGACAGGCAAGTTCATAGTGTAAAGAATAGAAAGGAATATCTAAAGCAAAATAGTTGTTTTTGTCATGTATATAGTTGCACCTCCACAACCCTATGACATAGGATGAAGAAGGCACAGACTTCTAAATGAGTACAACTTGCAATAGAATCCACTCCTGGATTTTCAACTGGAATGCCACAGGAAGGAAACCACTCAGAAAGACTATAATAAGGATTTGGTTAAGGTAAAACCAGGGGATGATCAAACAGCAGATACGACTTGGGAGAAAAAGGCACCAATAGGTGTAGGTAAAAAGAAGAAAGTACAAAAGCTGAGCCAAGAAAGTAGAACTGAGAAAATACCTAAAGGCGATGGCTTGATATCTACAGAGGCTCTTCTTGTGAAGCATTATACAAAAACTTCTCCAGCAGAAGGTATATGAAGAAGAGGAAACTATACAACTCACACCATGGCTGCAATGTTCAAAACTCCCATTGTTCTAGGCGCATTTTGCGACAGGGAATTTCATTAGGGAGAGCAGTTTCTGAGTTCTGGGCGCAGTACTGTGCCTAAGATTTCAGATTAAAACTGCAGAGTGGAAGGAAAGGAGGACCTTTTTCTGCCTCCCCACTTCCAGCTACTCTCTGAAGACTGGAGAAGAGACCCTCTTAAGAATATTAGGGGGGTGGGCAGGGGAAGGACTAGACCATGTGAAAAATGAACTTAATATTTTAGCTGCAGTTCATTCATTTTCAGCTTTGTATTCTTGTTATAAAAAAGTGTGCCTAGACATTCCGTTGTTGCACCATAACCTAGGTTTAAGGTGCCATGTAGCTCCTAACTTTCATATCTCAGTTTCTAACACTGCATGGCTGGACTACGCATCAATGACTACTCTCCCAACATACTATGAATTCAAATCAAGTTGGGCTATAACTTTGTTCCTCTAGAACTGTGCATCATGAACAAAAGAGTCTCTAATGCCACAGGTGGGTTTAGATCTGGGGCCTCAATAAGATTCTTCTCTACATTAGCCCCTCTACCCAGTATAAATACAAGTTGCTTACTTATTTGTTCTTCAGAATCCAGACAGCAGGTCTCCCAAATGGCTGCATTCCCATTCCCAGCCCATGCCAGGATCATACTACTTTCTTAAAATGCTGGTTTGTAGTCATTTTTTAAAGCTTCAACAACTTCAACTGTAAGCACAAATGTTTCATGTTTCAGTTGAAGTAGCACTATTTCCTCATATGGATAACCAGATTCCCAGCACTGATGCAATAGGACTGCGGAGGTGAAGATGGTAAAGCCTTTGAATTGCATTTACAAGAAGGTGAAACTTGGCAACAACAAAAATCAGTTAAACTGCTTTCTTCTGCCATAGAACATCAGAAACAATGGTGTCAAGGCAGCTCTTATGGGAAAAGAGCTAAGCAAGTAAAGGTATCTAAGAAGCAATGGTTGGTGCTCTAGTGGGGGGTGGAGAGTAATATGGGTGCAACTTTCCCCACCCGCTCTCTCTTCTGAAGGTGCTGCATTGTGCAGGGACTACCTATTATGCAATTAGCACTGAATCAGACTTCTACTTGCACAGCTTTTCATCAGCACTTGCATTCTGATAGTTTGCAGTCGAAGGAATGAATAAGTAAAAAGACAGCACACGCTTACTACAATGTAATTCAAGGGATCCCAGCTGCCATAGTGATCTACTAAATGCATCCAGACAAATCCCTTGCCATCTTTGGGCTATTGTTTCCCATGCCACCCTGCCTTTTCAGCCTGTAAGACCCTTGCAGCAATCATTGTCTGCCACTTTGTCTGCACAGTCCACATATGAAGGGGATATTAATCTCAGCATGTCCATAGAATGCACACATACCATGTTAATAAAAAATAATGGATAGGAAACAGTCACAGAAGGATAATAAAAAGGAGGCTCTTCCTCAAGGAGCAGCGGTAGAAAAGAATGGCACCAGGAACAGATGTATTTAGGTAAACTTGGCCCTTTGTGAAACAAAACTGGCTTATTACAAGGCACATATTATGAATTTATTCTAAAAATGTCTTGCTCCCTATTTCCAAACAGAGAAGATCAAAGAAAGAATCCTAAATAGAAACCAGGGCAGATAGGAAAAAGGTTATCACAGCAATTGGAAAGGGGGCCACTAGATTAGTAGTTAATGGGCTAAGAAACTCATAATTCTATTAGGGGGAAGAATTGTGCAGAAATACAGGAAACAGAAGGCATGTGGGAGAATGTTGACACGTGATTAAAGTACAAGAGAGGGGTGGATTTCTCCCAACAGAGAATAAGTTTCATTGTAAACAATAAGCAACAACCAACACTCACAAATGGCAGAATTTTAAAAGCCAGTTTAGACAGTCCTCATAGCCCAGTTCAGACCACTATTTTCACAAGCAACAAGGAAATATCATGAAAGAAGATGGGAGCTCAGCAAGCATGAGGCAGTGTTTTGTGGTGCAGAAATGGGTACAAGGAGAGGTCACAGGGTGTACTTCAGGTTCATAAAGCCTGTGTGCAGTAACTGGTTTTCAGCAAGATTTAAAGGGAGCTAAGTATTTCTAAGTTGGGTGTTCTTGGAATCACAGCCAAGAAAGGGAGGGAGTGGTGAGAGGCAGAACTGCGGGAAACTCCAGCCAAAAGGGGGTGGAGAGCAGCTTCAGGACGCATTAAGCAGAAAGCATACAAAGAAGGCGAGCAGGGGTGCCAGTTAGCAGAAGCGAGGAAGCGGGGAGACGGCCCGAGGACAGTTACCCCTGGCCAGTGTAAATGACAGCCCCGCTTACAGCAGAGAAGGCATACAAGCTACCTTTAAGAGCATATGGGCATACCATATGGTCCTAATTGGCCTTCCCTCTACGACCAATCCGCCATCCCCGCTCCTTAGACCATCCTGCAGTCGGGTCTCCAGGCCAGGCCTTCCACAATCCCTGCAGCAGCGAAGAGGCTACAAAGAACAATTGCTGCCCCGGCCACCATGACTCGCCTCGACTCAATCCCAGGCAAGAGGCTGAGCCGAAGACGACCCACCCGCACGCGGATCCACAGCTCCCCCGATCTACCGATTTGGGGGCGAGGGGGGGCACTTGGCCCTCCTCCCCCTAAGCTCTTTTCCCCAGGGCCCTGCGACGCCACCTCCTTATCCTCGCGGTCCGTTCCCTTCGCACGCCTCCCCCCCGCACGCATCTCTCCCCCCCCCACCAGCGACCCCCAGGAGGATCTCCTGCCAGCCCCACCTCGGGATATGGACGAAAATGCACAGCCCTCCCCGCTGGCGGGGGCTTCTGCGTAGGCTCCCTTACCAAGCTCGGCGATCTACGGCCCGACATAGGCGCAGCAGATCTTCGCACTGTGCATATTCATGACGTTCGAATCAAGGCCAGGCTCGCCCCGCCCACTTCGATGCATATTCATGAGGCATGCAAATACAGAGCCACCCACCCCCACGTGTCACATTCCCGAGACTTGCAGGGACTCCAACGAGGCTGGGCTTGCAAGGAAGCTTCGGCTTACACATTTTATGAGAACCTCGTTGCCTCCGCCTTTTTAAGGGGAAAAAAGGAGGTTTACGAGCACGGCCAAAGGGCGGGGCTTTGGAGAAACACCACCCCACTCTCCAGCCCACAGCCCCCCCACCGGCATGTGAAATATTTCTCCATTGTTAATTTTTATTTTTTTCCTGCAACCCATCCCGGACTCACAAGGAGCTTGGAGTCATGTGGTTTTTATGTACACACAATAAACAATTGCTTTTCATTCTTGTTGTTGGTTTCCTTTGTTTTGGGTTTGGCTGAGGATCAAAACTTTAAAGGAGTCCCTGCAGGCGCGGGATCCGCACCTCCCTTAACTTTTCTCCCACTTTTCCCACGTGTTGCGAGTGATGGGCTAATTAACAGCACTACTCCGGTCACGAAGAGTCGGACACGAGTAAACGACTAAACAACAAACAACTTCGGAGTCGAGGCGAGCCTCTCGACCCCTGTGCCTGTAATGTACTCCGAAACTGAAGCCCCACCCCGAGGGAAGCTTTGCAGGGAAGGGCTGAGCAGCGCGGCTGCTGTGTTACACATAAAACGATCAACAGTATCATCACGCCTTCTTACTAGGGAGATACTGCTAGATTATGGCAACCAGATTACGGAACTCCCTCCAGCAAAAGGTGAAGTCCGGCCCCTCTCTTGTGGCACTTTTTCTTCCTTCCTTTTTTATTCCACCTCGTCTTGAGGCTGCAATCCTACACTTAACCCCCATGGAAGTGGGGGCTTTCTTCTGACTAGACATAGATAGGACTGAGCTGCGAGCGATGTATTTTTAAACTGACCCACTTAGAATCCTGGAACTACAGAGTTGTACGCAATTTCGTCTAGTTCAACCCCCTGCAATGCAGGGGTCACAGCTAAAGCAGTCCTGACAGATGGCCATCCAACCTCTGTTTAATAAACTTCAATGAAGGATAGTCTATCTCTTCCCAAGATAGTGTGTTCCCCTTACCACCAGAAATATCTTATTTAGGTGGAATCTCCTTCCTTTTAATCTGGATCCATTGACTCACATCCTACCCTCTGGAGCAGCAGAAACAAGCTGGCTGCATCTTCCATGTGACAGCCAGTCAGATCTTTGAAGGGGGCTATCATATCACCTCTCAGTCTTCTCTTCTCCAGGCTAAACATACCCAACTCCCTCAACCATTTCTCATGAAGCTTGGTTTACAGACCCTTGATCATCTTGGTGGCCTCCTCTGCACACATTCCAGCTTGTCAACATCCTTCCTAAATTGTAGTGCCCAGAACTGGACACAGTACTCCTGGTCTGGTCTGACAAAGATAGAATATTATTATTATTATTATTATTATTATTATTATTATTATTATTATTATTTATACCCTGCCCATCTGGCTGGGTTTCCCCAGCCACTCTGGGCGGCTTCCAACCAAATATTAAAATACAGTAATACATCAAACAATAAAAGCTTCCCTAAACAGGGCTGCCTTCAGATGTCTTCTAAAAGTTTGGTAGTTATTTTTCTCTTTGACATCTGGTGGGAGGGCGTTCCACAGGGCGGGCGCCACTACCGAGAAGGCCCTCTGCCTGGTCCCCTGTAACTTGGCTTCTCGCAGTGAGGGAACCGCCAGAAGGCCCTCGGCGCTGGACCTCAGTGTCCAGGTAGAACGATGGAGGTGGAGATGCTCCTTCAGATATACTGGACCGAGGCCATTTGGGGGTTTAAAGCTTTAAAGCACCAACACTTTGAATTGTGCTCGGAAACGTACGTAGGTCTTTCAAGACCGGTGTTATGTGGTCTCGGCGGCCGCTCCCAGTCACCAGTCTAGCTGCCACATTCTGGATTAGTTGTAGTTTCCAGGTCACCTTCAAAGGTAGCCCCACGTAGAGCGCATTGCAGTAGTCCAAGCGGGAGATAACCAGAGCATGCACTACTCTGGCAAGGCAGTCTGCGGGCAGATAGGGTCTCAGCCTGCGTATCAGATGGAGCTGGTAAACAGCTGCCCTGGACCCAGAATTGGCCTGTGCCTCCATGGACAGCTGTGAGTCCAAAATGACTCCCAGGCTGTGCACCTGGTCCTTCAAGGGCACAGTTACCCCATTCAGGACCAGGGAGCCCTCCACACTCGCCCACCTCCTGTCTATTACTTCCTTTGAACTGGACACTATACTTCTGTTGATACAGCCTAGGGTTTTTTTGCTGCTGCATCACAAATGTTAAGCTTGTGGTCTTTCTTTATGTTTAGCTTGTTGTTTGTGGCCCAGGGATTTGTTAGGTACAGTACCTAAATGACTGGGGCACAGAATGGTGGCACGCATTTGTATGTTTATGCATGCAAATTTGGGGTGATTTTCAGAGGTGATGGTGGAAGACCTATGGCTCTTGGTCCCCAGGTTTACTGTGAGTTAATGAGGTACCAACAAGATTTTATGGGCCTAGTACACTGTATAGGTACCCCTGCCCATACGGGCCAGTCGTGTCCGACTCTAGGGTTGTGCGCCCATCTCACTTAAAAGGCCGGGGGCCAGCGCTGTCCGGAGACACTTCCGGGTCACGTGGCCAGCGTGACGAAGCTGCTCTGGCGAGCCAGCACCAGCGCAGCACACGGAAACGCCGTTTACCTTCCCGCTAGAAAGCGGTACCTACTTATCTACTTGCACTTAAGGGTGCTTTTGAACTGCTAGGTGGGCAGGAGCTGGGACTGAAAGACGGGAGCTCACCCCGCCGCGGGGATTCGAACCGCCGACCATGCGATCGGCAAGCCCTAGGCGCTGAGGTTTTACCCACAGCGCCACCCGCGTCCCACCCGCGTCCGCCACAGTACACTGTATAGTACTCTGCAAAATAAGATGGAAAGTTGCTGTGGTCTCCCCAGCACTGCACTGTGCAATGGGTCCAATTACCCTGAAAGCAATGTTTAAAAGTTTTTTTTTAAGAGGAGCAGAAGATCCAGGGCCCTGAGCCACTGCCACCTTACCTCCGTTTTGCTCCTCTAATGCTGCTGCTTTAATATTTTCCAGATTCCCACTCTGAAGGAGCCTGAGAGGGTGGTGGCAATGTAAAGGGCCTTTGCAGTTGTGGCTCTTCCACCTGTAAAATGCTCTCCCTAGCAAGGTCCACCTGGTACCTTCTCAGACATCATTTTGGCACCAACTAAAGACTTACCTGTGAATTGGAGGTTTTTTCTGGATTTATCAGTGTACCGATTTGTTAATGGCACAGTAATGTATTTATGTTTGTTCTTAACTGTGTCGTAAGTCACCCAAATACGTTTATGTAACAAGCACGTTAACAAGTATAATAAAAAATATTATTTATGTCATCATTTTGTGGTAGTTTTGTATTAAAACTAGAAGCCACTTTACAGACTCTCTGTGCAGAAATTTTCTAAAATAAATCAACAAATTCATGGCAAGGGTACATTTGGGATACTGTTTACAGTTGTGATTATCCCATCTGCAAAATTAGAGCCTGTAGCTGGAAAAAGAAAAGGCTAATACAGATGATAAAAAGGTAAAGGGACCCCTGACCGTTAGGTCCAGTCGTGGCCGACTCTAAGGTTGCGGCACTCATCTCGCTTTATTGGCCGAGGGAGCCGGCGTACAGCTTCCGGGTCATGTGGCCAGCATGACTAAGCCGCTGATAACAGGGGGCAAATGGCTGCTGTGGTGCCTTTCCTAGGTGGAAAGGGTAAATGGGTATTTTTGCTTTAGAAATAAGAAAAGGGACAGGACTGAGATCTATCTGAAACAATTAAGCTTGGCTTGTAGAAAGTGGGTAGAAATATTCAGTTTCCTTTTTTCTGGGGTAGCTCAGTTAGTAGGACATGAAATTCTTAATCTCTGGGTTGTGGATTCAAGTCCTACATTGGGCAGAAGATTCCTGCATTGCAGGGGGTTGGACTAAATGACCCTCATGGTCCCTTCCAATTCTATAATTCTGTGATTTTTGTTTATTTATTTACATATATTTATTTATTATGTTTAACAAAGTACAGTCGTACCTCAGGTTACATACACTTCAGGTTACAGACTCCGCTAACCCGGAAATAGTACCTTGGGTTAAGAACTTTGCTTCAAGATGAGAACAGAAATCGTGCAGTGGCGGCACGGCAGCAGCGGGAGGTCCCATTAGCTAAAGTGGTACCTCAGGTTAAGAACAGTTTCAGTTTAAGAACGGACCACCAGAACGAATTAAGTTCTTAACCTGAGGTACCACCGTATAACGACATAAAGTAAAAAGAGATCTACATCCAAACATATAGGAACAAATTTCCATACCAAAGTCAAACATAATAAATTAATATCACAATATTCCTCTCTGGAACTTGGGGCCACTCAAAAGCACAACCACAGAGTCAGGAAAGCAAAAGAATACTTCGTCCCAGAATGCATAATTAATTCTATGGCAGTTGCTGCCGCAGGATGGGGTAATACCCAAAACCTTAGATGGCTTTAAAAGGGGATCTGGTAAGTCTGTGGGTAGATTGGTTAATTAGTAGGCACAACAGTTAAATGGAACCTCTATGCTCATATGCAGCATACTTTTGAAGGTTAAGTGGTATGGGACAGACAGCAGGGATTGGCTATTACTTCCAGGGCCTGCTTGTGGGCTTCTCAGAAGCATGTGGTTGGCCAGTCCATCAAACAGCCTGCTAGAACCTGCATACCCTTGGCTCTGATACAGCAGAGCTCTTAGGAAATCAAACACACTAAAGAGACATGTCTTTATTACTGGTTCATTGTATTTCATGGGTCAGCCCCAGCTCAAGCAGGATGGTGGGGTGAGCATTTCCTTTTTAGTAGATCACATACATGCTGCCCAAACACCCCCAACTTACTGACGTGTTGACAG